CGCGCCATGATGCCCGAAAATGAATTGTTAAAGAATTAGAAGTAGGTAAAACCAAAGATAATTCCTCGTTGTATACAGTTGTATACCGTAAGTATAAAAAAATCCGTCAAGTAGTTTTTAAATTATTAGTCATTTAATATAAAAAAACCTGGAAACGCTGTGTATTTTTTAAGCGGATTTGGAAAACATAAAAACGGTTGTTATGGAAACAAAATATACATGTATACTTGTAACGCATCAACACCAACATCTAACATGTATACCAGTGTTACCAGATTTTGAGGTGTGATATAGCGAGTATTGTTTGTGCTTGCTTTAAATATTCGCAAATCTCTACTCGCAACCACAAACAATATTCGCTACATCACACCTCAAAATATTCGACATACATATATTTTTGATAATAAGTGGTATTTGGAGGACAATTTTATTAAACCAAAATTTAAAAAAAAACAAAATCGATCCAAATTGAGTTGCCCAAAATATTCACCTTGTAGTTACTATTCATTTTGGACCAATCAAAAGTAGTTGTTGCGAATATTGTACTAGTATTTAATATTCGCTGCAATTTGTTCTAGTCCAATATTCTCAACAATTACTTTTAATTAGTCAAACATTGACAAATAAAGCGCTTTGATTGATCCACATTTATCATAATATCATATTATGACAGGTGAAAAAAATTCTCATAACACCCCTTTTTATAACTTGTTTCTCCTAATCCAATCATTAGCTAAAAATTGTATAATATAAAATGTATGGATCTTCGTAAAAAGTAGAGTGTAATATAATGTCTAAGGAAGATGCTATAGCATAATATGCTATAGCATCTTCCTTAGACATTATATTACACTCTACTTTTTACGAAGATCCATACATTTTATATTTTATATTTTATATTATATGATCCATACATTTTATATTTTATATTATATGAATGATTTATTGACTTAAGTAAAGAACAAATATTTAGAAGCTAAAGATTGATATGAAATTAAATGTTGTATGTATAAGAAGTGATTTAATAAGAGCCAGCTATATTCAAATTTGGTATATAAGCCTAGATAATGATTCTAAACAACTTTTCTTTATAACTTTTGGTCATATTGGCAACATAAAAGCCACTTTACTCTAGAAAAATATGTTTTCGGAAAATTTTCAACACATTGATATTACAAAACTGAAATTATGTTAAAAATTAGTCTTTAACCAAGCAGAGCTGAACCCCAAAAAATGAAAATTTAATACAACAACTTTTTTACCTATCTGGGGACACACCTCGTTATACCTATCTGGGACATACTGTATGCACATGAACTTTGCAAAGTTAGCTTTAAAACAAACAAAAATAAATAAAATATCCCCAGTAGTTTCCAAATTATAAGCCCCTGGCAGAGAAAACTATACTTTAGTTCCAGTGTGCGACGCTCGGCACGGAAGCGACTTTAAATCGGGATGCCAGTTAATTATGACTGGCAGAAACCCGGCATCCCATATTTTTTATTTTTAACTGGTCCTGTTTATTTTTTCAAAATCTGGTTTTTAAAGGACATCCAAAAATTGAATTAAAAAAAAATTGATTTATTTTATATATAATATAATCATATAATCTTAGTTGTTACCTACTTGAATGCGAAATTCAGAAAGTTCTAAACTTACCATTTTTCAAATTTATTTTATCCATTGTTTTGCCAAATATTCTTTCTTTGGAAAGCTGAAGTATTTTATGTCGAGACCTTTTGTAGATTTATTACATTTTTACACTTAGCCACAGTACAGTTCGGCATTGTAAATTAATCCCACACACACACAATTACAAAAACACAATAAAAATAGTGAATTTAAATATCTTACACTTATATATAATAATAATACACACAATTATCTATGCTTATAAAATAATAATAATAACATTAAAAATAATAATAATTACTAATTAAACACGATAATATTATTAAAGAATGCATCAGCAAGTCGAATATCTAATTTCGCTACTCGAATGTGACGTACATGCGCGTGGCGGACGAAAATTGGTTCCAATAGTATACTATGCTATAGCATACCGTGTTTATGTAAATCTTGGTTTAAATCATAGTGAATAGGAAGTCGGCCAATCACTGATGACTAACAACGTGAATAACGAGTTTATTATTCCCGTTGTTAGGCAGGTTTATCACGTTTATCATTATTCACGGAAAAAAACAATATTATGCAATAGGAGTAGATAATCAAATTAGCATAGATGTTATTCTGTTTATCGTTCATGGTGGAAGCGTTTTTTGCGGTTTGCCTAATGTAAAAATCTCAAAAAAATACACATTTTAAATTAATTAAGGGGCATCTGGGCTGAATCAGACCTGGCAACCCATAAGTTTCACATAATACAAGTTCCAAGAAATAAAATAACAGGTTTAAATCGGTTTGTCGTTCAAGGTATACTTGGCGTCGCTGGCTCTCCTAGTATTAATCCTGTTTACCACTGCAAAGAGCGGAAAATATAAGCAAAAAATAGATAAAGTGATTTAAAAAAATTGACTTAATATAGTTTGGCTCTGGGGTACAGAAAATAAGATAAAATTAGCGATAAACTGACAGATACATAACCTCAATTCTTTGTATTCCAATGTCAAGGTAGGACTTTTTGATGTGGAGCATTCCCTTTTGTTGAACATGCATGTTCATGAACTACATATGTTTCTTAACATATGTGCCCATTTCCTTTCAATTATTTTGTCTATAGACGCATGCGCTCAAAGAATTTCTTAAACATCCATTCTATAAACATCATCGGTGTCTAATTTGTTATTCCGTTTCCAAAATATGCTATTTGGTAAACATACATGATGTTTGAAAACGTATGTTTACGAACGCTCGCCTGAGAGGTACCGTTAGCCAATATTTGAGGTTTTTTATCTTGCATTAATCGTAAATTTCGGCGATGTTTGGTACAGTATATAGTACATTCTCATTAAAAAGCACTGTGATTGTCTTAAATTAATTAGTAATCATGAATTAATTACGTTTTCATAATTAATATCTAGTTAATTATAATTATAAATTATATATTATTATTTATAAATGAAAATGAGTCAAATCAAAAGGAGTGATACCAAACAAATAAAAACAATTTTTTTGCAATATAAAAATATTATTATAATTTGTTTTTTTAATTATTAAAATGTAGTTTTTAATTATCATAGTAATACAAAAATACAGTTTTTGCTTTACTAAATTTAATAAAATTAATTTATTTAGAAAAAACAAAATTAAAAAAATCTGATTGTGACGTGAGAATTTAGGGAGAGGGAGGTCAAGACTTTGACAATATAATATATTATATTATGTTATAACGGGGGCAGCGTGTCTAAAAACGACTTCTAAAATATATATTGGTAGAATAAAAAATCTTGGAAAAAATATTGTTTGTTAAAAAATACAACAAATATAAAATATCAAATACCCATGTAATGTTAATACACCAAAATAAACATAAAAATTAGTCAAACAAAAGTATAAGAGCTAATAAAATACAAAAAATATGCATATAAAAATTTATCTCAATTTTTTTTCAAATGGGAGCTAAAACTTTTTTGTTTAATTTTAAAATCTCTTTTATTTTTTATCAATGCCTTTTAAAACCTCTACATCAAAGAACACTCCTCACGTTTGCTACTCATCAGAGTTTAAGTTGGACTTTCTCTTGGCCTCTTTTTGCCTCTCTGTTGTAAAAGGGGTCCTTCCACACCGCCTGTGTTGACCTTAAAGGCTGGCCAATGCAGTGCTCGGTATGCCGAGTTTAAGGCTTGGTAATCCCTCCACCACTAACTTCCCTGTTAGGGCTAGTAATTTATTCTCAATGTCATTAAGTTTTTTTACTGGCTCCCCGACATTGCCATTCTCCATGTGAGAAATGTGTAGTTTCCTCGCCCTTTTCCTTACATGGGGGTTCAAGTCACTAAAAGTATGTGTAAAAATAAGTTACAAACAATTATTTTAAGATTACCCTTTTTCATTTAAGGATGGACTTGATGGCCCCTCCAGAAAATCTGTTCTTTGGCTGGTTCAGCATAAAACGATTTTTTCAAGTATTTTTAGAATTTGTGAATTTTCATAAGTTGGTTTTAAATTCATTTATTATATTAAATAGGTATCACCAATAATTTTTAAATTAATTATTAAACATCATTTTAGTTCGCGATCTGCGACTTTTATAAAACTAATATACTCTATGTCCTAGAAACATTATATTGCTGTTCAGAAAGTTTTAAGGTCAAGCCTTTAAACCTTAGGGTGGGTTGAAAACAAAATTTTTGTTTTTTTTTCTTAGCATGGGAGTAGAATTTGTACCTTATAAAAAAAGAAAATTTAATTTCAAAAGAAAATTTTTTTTTTAACTCAACATTTTGAGGTGGCCCACTCGTTTTTTAAATAAATATTTAATCAAATGGGGTAGTTCCAACAGGAAATTCTTTTTTTTTGTTCTAGAATCTGTAGGGTGTCCCCTTAAAAGCCAATTGGAAGTCAAAAGTTGAAAAAGTTTTTTTCCCATTGTTTTTGTAATTGAAGTAAAAAATTTAAAAATTAAATATACTTTCTTTTGTATTAGCATGAAAGTTGAGTGAAAAAAGTCGCATTCTACAATTTTTACATGTTTTCCACGATTTTGGACCAAAAAAAAAAATTTCCCGTTGGAACTACCCCACTTGATTAAATATTTATTTAAAAAACGAGTGGACCACCTCAAGATGTTGGGTAAAATTTTTGTTTTCGTTTGAAATTTTTTTTTTTATATAAGGTACAAATTCTACCCCCATGCTAAGAAAAAAAACAAACATTTTGTTTTCAACCCACCCTATTAAACATATTTGGGTTGTTGGTTGGTGAACATACTGTTAAGAAATCGATGTTTATGAACACCAAGAAACGGAATAGGCCTCTTAGAACCTAAGTTTGTCACAAAACAATACCAAAAAACATACTAAACTAAAAACTTTTTTCAGTTAAGAGAGCCAAGTGGCATTTAGGCATCAGATCCCAAAGCAAACCAAATGACATAATGATGGAAGTTTACAGAGCTATGAAAGCTTTAGACTTTGAATGGAAGGTTATTAATCCGTTCCATGTGAGAGTAAGGCATAAAAATAGCCTACACGAAAAGTATGTGATGATGTCCCTACAATTATACCAGGTAGTTTTTGTTAATTTTTTTAAATTCAATTTTAAATAATAAACTTGTTTTAAACATTAGGTCGATTATAAGAGCTATTTATTGGACTTCAAAAGCCTAAGTAATGAGGATATAGAGTCCAGTAATGCCAACATAATTCTGGGTGCAATTCCCACCCCAGTTTTAACTGGTAGCACCATAAATGTTACCACAAAAGCATGTGGGCATCATACCATGGAGTTCTTTGAAATGTGCGCTGCTTTAATTATACAACTTGCAAGATAAACTTTTTAAACATATATAAATATTTTATTGTAGAGGCTTCATTGTTATAATTCCTTTATTTTTGTTTTATTTTTTATTATATATTTTTTAAAGTGATAATGTATTATTATTTTGCGGTATTATCGAGTAGAATAGGCGAATTGTAGGTAAGCTTTTAAGAGTTATTTGATTCTCTATATAAATATTTGTGTTTTATTTATTATGTATATAGTGTAAATTAATAAAGTACAAATTAAATGGCTGATTTTTATTTAAAAAAAGGATAAATTAAAAAAGGAATTAAAAAACTGAAAACAAAGAAGATTAAAGCCTGATATACAGGGATGGTAATGGGCTCTTAGGCCGTTTATTAAACAAAGATGTATGCTATATGAAACGTACGAATTAGTGAGATAAAGGTATAAAGAAGAGACAAACAACCATTGTTGAACGATATGCTATATATGCTATATGAAACGTACGAATAAGTGAGATAAACGTATAAATAAGAGACAAACAACCATTGTTGAACGAATTGGATAACAAACACTTAATCGTGCAGTACAAGATTTTAAAACTATTAAATCAAAACAATTAAACGTCCGCCAATGTTTTACTTCCCCTCCTCTAACTGCTGTGCAATCCCACTACTAGACAACCTTGACGCAAATTTCGCTATCGAGTCTCGATTTAATTTCAGTATTACTCCGGCCACGTTGGGCGTTGATGTCGGATAAATTTTAAATTTTCTTTAAAATTTAACTATGATTTTGTTTACAAAAACAAATACTTATTGAAAATATGGAAAATAAACGATAGTATTCTTGTAATAAAAAATATTCTCAAACAAAAATGATATTCTAAAATGTTTAAATAAATAAATTAAAATAAATGTTCAAATAGGCCCCCAAACGCTGCTGTACAATAGGTTAACCTATTATAAAATTTTTGTCGTACATTTGACAGCATCTCAGGGCTGATATTCCTTAATGTATTAATTATTAATTCTGATTTGCTGAAACCAGTACATTTTGGATTTGGCATATCCCCACAAAAAAATCGCACGGAACCAAGTCCGGTGATCTTGCTGGCCAGAGCATATTTCCGTGACCACTTATTAGGCGGTCTGCAAAAGTGTCTCTTACCAATAGGGTATTATGTGCGGGACATCCATCCTCTTGAAACCATACTGACTCAAAAGGCACAGGCAGAGCACGAACTGCGGGAACAATTTCATTTTGCAGCAGTTCAAGAAACTTTTGACCATTTAAGGTACCATCTATAAAAAATGGAACTATAATATGGTCTTCCAGCACTCCACACCAAACATTTAATTTTTGTGGTCGTTGAGTATTGTCAGCATAATGCTGATGAGGATTCGTCCTGGACCAATACCGATGGTTCATGGAATTATGCCTACCAAAAAATGACGACTCATCGGTGAAAAGGATTGATTTTGATTTGAAGGGGAGTCTTTGCAGGCAGCACGTAGGCACACATACTGCCCATTGTGCAAACCCCCTTTTGGTGAAGCCCAGCCTTACCTTACGAGACCGCATCTTTTAAGAAAAGCGCAGACCCGCTGTGGTCGGGCATGCATTATTTCCTCTGGTTCCAAATATCTGTCCCCTAGGTGTCTTAGTCTACTATTGACTAGAGCGCCGCATTCGCAGACTATATGCTCGGTAGTTTCGTCTACTTCGCTGCAGTACCTACAATCCGCCTCGTTGCTGATTCCGGTTTTGTGTAGGTGGTATTTGACTACCCAGTGTCCTGGTGATGGCTCTTAACTGGTTCCTGTTAAGTTTTAGAAATCTTTGTGCCTCTTTGCAGTTAGTAGGAACCTTTATAAAAACCCTTGACTGCCTGAGGCCTTGTTGTTCACACCATTTGTTCTGGAACTGGTTGTCAGTCCAGTTCCTGATTCTGGTTTTTCCAGACAGGAGGCGACCCCTATGACAGGGCCTGGTCCCAAAAACGCCGTGTTACTGCCCTCACGAGCCAGTGGTCTGCTTCCTCGTTGCATTTGACGCCTCGATGACCCGGTACCCAGATAAGGTTAACCTTGTTGAGCACACTAAGTAATTCAAGGGTTTTAATGCAGTCCAGTGTAAGCCTCGAGTTCACCCTTTCTGAGGGAAAAGCCTGGAGTGCTGCTTGACTGTCTACATATGTAGATATGTTTACTCGAGTAGCCTCTCTGGAGATTCTCTTGGGCGCATATCAGTATGACAAAGATTTTAGTCTGGTATACCGTTGAGTGCCGACCTAGTGCAAGGCTTATTCTCGCCCCAGGTCGTTCCCCATACACATCAGCTCTTGCACCTTCCTTCATTAGAGACCCGTCTGTGTACCAGATGAGCCCTCCCGGTTTGAGAAAGCCTGGGTCAGGCTCGCTCCAGTCGTTTCTAGAAGGGTTGATAGTCTCAGTGCAGGCCCTCGCATGCCCTGAGTTTTCCCCCCCGTGAGCCCACTGTCCCCAATCATTGAGTCTGACCGAGGCCTCCCGAGCCCGTGCCTCTACAAAGGGATGTAGAGGCGCCAGTCCCATTATTGCCAATGTTGGAGTGGTTCTATAAGCTCCCCTTGTGAAAATTTTTCTCTGGGAAAGTCTTACTTTTTCTGAAAAAGTCTGAATAATACTTATTAAGTCGGAAAAAGTCAGAATAAGACCTATTAAGTCGGAAAAAATCTTATTAAGTCAGACTAATAGCAAGATTTGGGAGTCTTCTGGAAGAGTTAATAAGACTTTTTAAGACTTAATAAGACTTTTAGTAGAGAAATGGTAGGTACCTACGGAGATAAAAATAAATATCCGAAATAATTCATAGAGGTTGTATTTGGTTATCGTAAAATAAAACACATAGAAAAGTATTTATTAACATTTTTGCTGTTGAATGAAACACGAAGATCAACCATATTTGTCTTATGAGTCTATCGAAAATATCATGTCTATAGACATAATATTAACTCTTTTTTTATGGTGGAAACAATGAAAGCATGCATGTCAAGCGCATCGTATGTATAAAATTATAATTGTTATAGTTATTACATCTTACCTATGTTATTATATATAGGTAATTATGCAATAAACTTGAGTCGTTTTTTCACGTAAATACCATGAAATACTATGGTTATTAACTTAACCTTGGTTAATAGTTAAGGCATTTTTGCGTTTAGAGTGCGTTCAAAAATCCTAACTATGACGTCACAAATACCAGATTATAGTCGTTTTTTCGCGAAAATACTATGTAATACTACGGTTAAATAAGTCATGACGTCACAGTTAATTCATATAACCATGGTTAGGTTTCTAACATTTGACATTTGTTTACTTGTTCATAACCTATAATTTTTGAAATGTGTTTTTACCTATTTATATTTAATTTCTATGCTCTTACCGGTGTAAATAAATTTCTTTGCCTCTTCTTATACCTAGTATATTCTTTTTCTATAGGTACTAGTTTTTTCAATACACGTTATCCAATTCTCCTACATGTTTAATGCAAAATAAGAGGCCTATTCCCTTTCGCTAAACATGCATGTTCATGAAGTACATATGTTTCGTAACATATGAGCCTATTCCCTTTCAATTATTTCGTCTATAGACGCATGCGCTCGAAGAATTTCTTAAACATCCATGTTTATAAACATCATCGGTGTTAAAATGGCTATTCCGTTTCCAATATTCGATGTTTGGTGAACATACATGATGTTTGAAAACGTATGTTTACGAACGCTTGCCTAAGAGGTGCTGTTGGCCAATATTTGAGGTTTTTTATCTTGCATTAATCATAAATTGCGGCGATGTTTGGTACAGTATACAGTACAGTATCATTATCAAGAATAGTAATTATGGAATAATTACTTTTTCATAATTAATACCTAATTAATTATAATTAAAAATGATAAATAATTATTTATAAATGAGAATAGGACAAATCATAGGTTTCACACCAAACAAATAAAAATATATTTTTTGGTAATTTTAAAAATATTTTTATTTATATATGTTTATGATTTGTTTTTTAATTATTAAAATGTATTTCCAAATTATAATACCAAAATACAAATTTTGCTTTACTGATTTTTTTAATAAAATTAATATTAATTTTATTATAATAAATATTTATTTAGAAAAAAACAGAAAAGTAAAAAATCTGAGTGTGAAGAGAGAATTTGGGGGGGAGGGAGGTCAAGACTTATATGTTACAAGGGTGGCAGAGTGTCTAAAAACGACCTCTTAAACTTAATATATTAGTAGAATAAAAAATAACTTGGAAAAATATATTTTATTAAAAAAATACTTAAAAAAATAGACAATATATTAGTCAAAGAAAAGTATAACTAATAAAATACAAAAAAATATGCATCTAAAAACTCTTTTTCTTCACATGGGAGGTAAAACATTTTGGTTTAATTTTAAAATCTTTTAGGTTTTATCAATACCTTGTAAAACCTCTACACCTTCACTACTCGTCAGAGTTTGAGTTGGACTTTCTCTTTATGCCTCTCTGTTGTAGAAGGGGCCCTCCACCCGACCTTAAAGGCTGGTCAATGAAGAGTTTTAACGATGGTATTACCTCCACCTTACCCTCCACCACTAACTTTCACAGCGCTTCCTCTATTAGGGCTAGTAATTTATCTTTAAAGTCATTAAGTTGTTTTACTGGCTCCCCGACATTGCCAGTGTCCATGAGAGAAATGCGTAGTTTTCTTGCCTTTTTCACTCAACGCTAAAAGTGTGTAAAAATAAGTAACAAATAATTATTTTAAGATATTTTATGATTACCCTTTTCCATATAAGGATGGCCCCGCCAGAAGATCTGTGCTTTGGCTAGTTCAGCATAAAACGTTTTTCCCAAGTATTTTTAGAGTTTGTGGATTTTCCTCAGTTGTTTTTAAGTTTATTTAATATAATAAATATCACCAATGATTTTTAAAATAATTATCTAACACAATTTTAGTTTACGATTTGTGACTTTTAGGTTATAAAACAAAGATACTCTCTGTCCTAGAAACATTTATCGCTGTTCAAAAAGATTCAAGGTCAAGACTCTCAACATATGAGAAACGGAATAGCAATAAACATAGGTGATGTTTGGATTGTCGTTGGG